CGTCCCCGCTGCCCAGGCCGCGCCGCGTGGGGGCGGGGGGGGGGTTTGCGGGGAATTGAGAGCCAAAATATGTTAAAGGGGCCACGGTTGAGAAACACTGGATTAGGGTTTTCAGATCTGAGCTGAAAAATCCAGGCCACCAGTAGAGGCAGCAAAGACACGTTTCTTTTGCTGCCATCTAATGATCATCTGCACTTCTGTAGCTCTTCTGTCATAGCCTCCCCCCGCCCCCACTAAACAAAAATGAACCAGATCATTTCAGTCCCATCTCAATTTAAAATCCTTTATTACATCACTGACATTGTCTCATTAGTCAAAAACAGTTTCATTCCATCAGGTTGAAACACTTTCTTTTTAAGGAAAATGAAATTATACTTTCTATGGCTACCCTACGCTTTCTAGGGTTAGGGCAAACTCCCCAGCTGCAAGCAGAGCTTTGATTTTAATAAGTTATTGTTAATAATTTAATAATTAATAATGATTTATTACATTTATATGCCGCCCAACTCCCAGCAACTCCCAGTGATTTTAGGTAATGTTGGGACAAAATCTGCACCCGTTGATTTCTCCAACAGATTCTCTAATGAAAGGGGCTTCTGGTTTTTTTGTTAACTTCATTCCAGGGCTAATTTAAAGTATTTCTTGGTTGCACTTTGGAACTGATGAGTTGCTGATGATGTTGTTCTCCTCTTCCACATCTTGTTCTTCCTCAGGAGCCTCCCTGGCTGCCCACATTTCCCCATCTAAAAAAGCCCCATAGACAGAGGCATCCATAGGGAGATCAAAAAATTCAAGATGGCAGCTGTGACAACATGATCAAAATCCCATCTTTGTGATGCATGTAAAAAAGGGTTAGGGCTTCACTTATGTAGCTGCAGCCACTATCTTGACTTTTATGACCATCCCATCCACATGCCTCTGCCCATGGGGGAGTTGTGTCATGACGTCTTACCTTGGGATTCAGTGAAAAGGAGGAGGCTGAATATTGCTGGAGAAATAATTGTCCAGTGAAAGATAGGGCACTCTCACACACCTTGCAGTGACCTTACAAATAAATGCAAAACGCCCACACCTCATCCATGAGAATTTCACCAAATCGTTATTTTTCTTGGAAAGCTTAATTAAAAGCTATTGCTTCTCCATCAGCCTGAAGGAGAACGGTTGAAAAAAGTGCAGAACATTGTTAGTTCTAAGCCAGCATCTCCTGTGCTATCAAATCTGTGGTTTGAATGTCGTACACAAGTCCATAAAATCCTGTTTTCCAAAGACCTTTGCACAGGTTGTGCACGTGTTTTTGAAAATATTGTGAAATAAATCTCAATTCATGTGCTTGCTGATCTCAGTAAGGAACAAGAGCTGTATTGAATGGACTCTGACTCTGATCTAGCAAGACTACATTTATTTCTCTCCCAGGTTCCTTGCCAAAGAAGGTATCATGTCCATATGATGCATGACAAAATTAAAATTAAAATTTTAGTTAAGGATATGCCTAGGAAAATTCACAGGTAATAACACTGTTGTCTGAAGCACTATAAAGTGTTTTGGTCATTAACATTTCTGGAATGGCTGAGAGCTTCAGGTGGATGGGCATACAATGATGCAAACCAAGTGGGGCTGTGGCTTCTCATCCAGTGGCCCTGTTTAATTGTGGGCAGGATTAAGATTTTCCATTTTCCTTGGATTTGGGAGTGGGTTTTTTAAAAAAAAAATTAAAATGTTAAAAATATTTTAGAGCTTCTTTCGCAATTTTTATGCATCTCTT